TATATATATATATATATAGAGAGAGAGAGAGAGAGAGAGGGAGAGAGAGAGACTTTTGTCAAAGAAAATTCTAAATAGCAAGAACTATCTTTATGGTTTTCTCATCTTATTATGATGCTGTTATATTATTATTGATTAAAAAAAATTTCAAAAATAATTTTTTTTTATTGAAATAAACTAGGAAACTAAATAAGATAATCATGTTATCATATCGTATCATCATATCATACTATACTATAAAAGAAACATTTTTCTTTTTCATAATATCAGTTGAATGATCCTATCATATCATACTATTTTATAATTAATTATGAATGTGGTTTTATATAAATTTATTTTTATTCTATTTTTATGAAATGTATTCAATTGTTATAACTAGTCAGTATTGTCAAAGTCGTTACACGCTCTTAAGTCACTGGACTAACGAGTAACGTGTATTCGGTCTAGACATAGAGTATTCAACGTATATTACATATAAGAAGAAGGTATGGGCTAACAACCCCCTGTATTATACCTTGTAACTCAACCATTTTGCTGTTCAATTTTATAAGAAGAAGGGAGTTTTTTCGAAAATTTATTTGATTCATAAGCATAAAATCCCTTTCTATAAATGAATTCATATTATAATGAATTTTTATGTCAAATATATGTGAACGAACTTTCTATATTATATTCTATATTATGTAGCTTTATTTGATTTATGATTTTAGAATTATTGAAAAATTGAATTATTGATTAACTTACTGAGATTATTAAAAAATATTCAACAATATATTTTTGGTATAACGTTCATTTATTTACCTAATATGTTATTTAAGTAAATAGAATTATTGACAAAAAAAGTTTGATTAAAATTTCTTCATCCCACATATATCGATTGTGAGAGTAAACAAGAGATGTCTCCTCATCTGTAAATAGGAAAAGACGTAAAATGCTTTAAAGGAATAAAGCAATGAGAACTTCATTATGTCTGCCTTTATAAGGTATTCAGGGTATTATGTGGTGAAATTGTATTTGTTGGCAAATGTCGAGTTAAGTTTAAAATTTTCGAAAATGGTTTTGTATCGGACAAGTTTTTTTTATTCAAACCGACTTTTTGGTAAAACAAAACAAAACCATGGTGTTGGGTTTATTGAGTTGAATCGGTTGGAGTTGCACAGATTTTGACCGAGTTTGATTAATATTCGAGTCTTTTGTTGAGGTGGCAAAAATCGCCTTGGATGAAGATTGAGTCTGAGTAACTTGCTGTGAGTATTCGACTGAGTTGACCAAGTTTTAGAACCCTGTAACTAATACATTTTAAGTTCCAAGTTATAAATGATGTATCTCTTATCATATTTCTACATAGTGATAATATTTAAAATAAACTTTTTAATTTAGTATGAAATTATTATTTAATAGATAACAATAATACTTAGTCATTTGTAACAACTTACATTCTTTTAACTACATATAACTTTGTATATATACAACAACTCCAAGTTCCAATGTTATCTCTTATGATATAGTTTAACATGAGAATATTTAAAATAATTTTTTATATTTATTATAAAATTAGTATTTAATTGTTAATAACAATGATTTACATATTTTTAATATAACTTATTTTTTCCTATTTTAACTAGGTAATTTTTACATAGGGATAATGACTTAAAAGGGTAATATATTTTTCGATTTGTACACATTTGGTCACTGAGTTTTTTTTTTCGTCCACATTTACCTCTTCAACTTGTTAAACTGTATACATTCAGTCCTTATGACCGGCTACTCCAGGTTACCCGGTAAAAATGACTTAATAGGGTAATATATTTCTCACTTTGTACACATTTAGTCCTTAATATTTTTTTACACATTTAGTCCTTTTTTTTTTTTTGCAAAGTAAATCATTTTTTTTTGTACTCATTCAGTACTTATGAATGATTTTTTAGTTTTTTCTCACAAAATCTTACGTGGGACATTCATTAATGAGGTGTATGAGGCTTTTGATGCTTATATCCATCGCGATCTCGACTACTTGGTTGCTTAGGTCATGTGTTCTGAACGTCATAACTTCTTCATATAATCTCGGATTTTAACGATCTTTATATCCATATGTTCGTATTTTAGTCCACTACAACTTTCATTTAGATTACTCTCATTAAAAAATAATATATTTTTACTTACGATTTTTATATCCATACGCGGTGGCGGATTTAGTATGGTCCCTTGCAACGACAACACCTGTTTTATCTGTTCGCAGTGGAAAATTTTTCGTTTTTTTTTACGTTTATACCTATTTTCCATGTATCGGCAACACCCATTTCATCTCGGCAACACCTACAATGTATTACTACGTCTTCCCCTGTCTGTACGTTTTTTATGAATGCATGTATGTATGTTTTTTTATAAAATCGTTAGTAAAAATATATTACATTTTAACGGGAGTAATCTTAATGAAAGTTGTAGTAGACTCAAAAAATGAACATGTGAATAAAGATCATTAAAATCTGATATCGTATGAAGAAGTTACGATGTTCAAAATACAAGACCTAAGTCAAACCATAAGACTTACGCAACCAAGCAGTCGAGATCGCATTGGACATAAGTATCAACAACCCCAAACACCTCATCAATGATTGTCTCACGTAAGATGTCGTGAAAATAATCTAAAGAAATCATTTTTAAGTACTGAATGAGTAAAAAAAATGACTTATTTTGAAACAAAAAAAAATGTTAAGGACTAAATATGTACAAAAATATTAAGGACTAAATGTGTACAAAATTAAAAATATATTACCCTATCAAGTCATTTTCCCGGCTAACCTGGAGTAACAGGTCATAAGGACTAAATGTGTACAGTTTAACAAGTTTAAGGGGTAAATGTAGACGAAAAAAAACTCAGTGACCAAATGTGTAAAAATCGAATAATATGTTACCCTTTTAAGTCATTATCCCTTTTTACATATGTGCAACGCACACAATTACCATTGGTCTAGTGTCATAATAAACATGGAACAAAAAAAAAACAATATAAAGTGCTTTCATTGACCATGTCAATTTAAATGACAGTCATTAACGTTAACATTAAAGAGATTAAAGTACGTTATACAAAAAATTACATTGAGATCAATCATATTTAATTAACTCATAGATATAGTAGACGCTCCTTAATTTAAGACCATCGTTATTCGATACACACACAAACAATTGCAATACATTAATTACGTGCTTAATCATAAACCTAGAGAGTAAGGAAAACCGGTGGCGTGTAACCACCGTCCCCCACCAATGAAGCTTTCTGGGGTGAACCGTTGAACATCTGCGTAGTTCGTGATTACCTTGAACCCTCCCCATTTTACTCTACCTGAAGTTTCAGCTCCGGCCCCTATATTCTGATACTCACCATAGAATAATGTGTTGAGCGCAAAGTTCCCATTCCACTCGTACCATCCGGCGGGGTGAATCACATCGCTAATGACAGACTGCATTACCACCGTCCTTGAATACTCTTTCCATGGTCGTCCAAGATACGTTGGGAATCTACTTTGGACTGGTTGGAGACCTGAAGTGGCACCTATTCTGCACTTTTGGATCACAATCCCTGTGTTTTGGTTAGGATCTGTGCGACCTTGTGCCGTGATCATGTTCATTTGAGAAGGTCCAGGGCGGCGTGCATGGATGTCGCAGTCTTGGAACACCACCTCTGCGTTGCCGAATATGAAATCCACAGTGCCGGCGATGTAGCAGTTGATGAAAAATTGACGACCACGGTGGACGTAAAGGGTGTCTTGGTAGCCCAACATGTCACATTGATAGAATGCTGATAAATCTGAACTGACACGAAGTGCGACTGCTTGGTGATTTGAAGGTCCGGCTGTGTTTTCAAACGTTATGTCCCTTGCCAAGAACCGATCACCTACAACCGCTGCATCACCACCACAAAAGAAATAAAATTTTTATCATTGTACATACTACTTTATTTTGTTCTTATTGGAAGAATGTATTACATTGATTAAAGTTAAGTAAGTAATTCGTTTCTGTTATATCGATTAAAACGTTATCATGCTTGGTAAATAAAAATGAGGTGTGTAACACATTTGTGAGTGGGTATGAATTAGAATACGATGACAAGTAGGTGATAATAAAGTGCAAAAAGACGCAGCAAAAAAAAAGTACGAAAATCCTCGATCATACTAAACACATGTTTCCTTTCTTTTGATTAGAAATTAATTAGTTAACGAGTAAGAGTCTTTGAACAATTAATATAATATCTAAAGTACTAATTAATATATCAATATTTATGATATATTTAAAAAAAAAAAGGAGATCTCGTTTTAAATGAAAGAGTAGGTCTAGATATGATCATTGCAACTTGGAATTTCACGATGACTAAGTAATGTTTGTTGAAATCACATGCTTTGTATATGATGGCTTATTTTTATGTTTTAAGTTTATTGTATTGATTAGAGCTTAATGTAAGTAAGCTTAATGTAAGTACGTAAACTTTAGCTTTGATCTTGTATAAGGTTATTAATAGTGTTTACTTGCATTAATTAACAATAATAAACGATTATAGTAAATTAAAATACGGAAGAGTATAATATAAACACTAATACTTAAAACGATATAGTCTTGTTGCGATTAAAAAAAAATGAAAGATGAGAGAACTCACCAACGGTGGCGGAGTTGAAGGTGGTGCTTCCTCCTTTAACGCTTCGGCCACCGGTGATGATTGTAGTTTTTCTTCCATCTCCCACAAACATTATGTTAGTTTTGGTCGACGGGACTTCAAAGTTTTCGTGGTATACACCAGCCTTTATCTTAATCACGTAAATTGTTCTGCTATGTGATGGTGCAGCTGCCACGGCGTCAGCCACCGTCCTGTAGTTTCCACTACAATCCGTAGCAACCACCACGTTGGGTTTCACCGTCCCTGACTGCAACAACCTCCTGTCTCCGGCAGATAACCACCCTGGCCATTCCGTGTTTTCTTCCTCCTTCAACTTCCTCGCGTTCAGCTTCATCTCTTCGGCCAAATCCGTATTAGTCATGTTACAAATCATTGCTAATGCATTGCTGCACATCTTCTCCACCCTTCTCTCGCCTTGCTCCAGTTCTTTACGTACATTCTTATCCGCTCCATCGTGGGAAAATCCGTCGTAACAAGTTTCCTGGTTAGTTATGGCGGAGCTCATTAGCGTCTTGAGATCATTGGCATGATGCCGTAGTGATTCCTTGGTTTGATACTTCTCGAGGCCTTTGATAACATCGAGGAGTTCGTGCAACGTCTCCGATATCATCTGATGACAGTCGTGAAGCGCCGTTATCTCTCGTTTCGTGAGACCTTTGCGAGTGGTGAGCCTCTTTATCTGGAAGTAACTCTGTTCGACGGCGGTTACTGTGATATTAACAGCAAGTTCGATCACGTTCTTAAGATTTTTGACCTTTATGTTGACATCGGGGTGGCTTGTGACTGTGGAATAGCATAGTTCAGGGTAAAACGTGCTGCTGCATGCTGATTTTACGATTGCGTGAGCTTCAGAATCCGTGATGCTTTCTGGGCTGGAGTTGTCGAAGCCTGAGTTTCGAGATTTGACTCCGACGATAATGCCTATTAAAGCCGAGGCTAATAGGATTATTAAAGCAAAAGCAGTTAAGAACAGCTTTTTTCTTTTGTTGGACAGGTTAATTTGCATGCCGGAGTCTAAGTCTTCGGAGAAGAAATCTTTGGTCCGCGACATGATTTTGAAATGGATTGGGGATGATCCAGTGAAGAAGGAAGAAACAATTGTTGTAGAGGTTGACGGAGAGAGTCGAATGCTGCATGTATGCTTTTATAAAACAATTGCGTACATCCGATAGCCACGTAAATTAATTAAGAAGTTGAAGACTTGAAGTAACCATTTGAGCCATGATTCTTTTTTTTTCGGATATCGACAAAAATATAAATAATAGTAAACAAAAACTTTAGACAAAATTACATAGGTCAATGTGGTTTCTCATATGTGGTCTCAAATTTATTTTAGTTTTACACGGATCATCCCTATTTTTTGAATTTAGTGCATGCTTGGTCCTTGCTAAAATGTCTTTTTTTATTTTGTTTTAGATTTTCTTTAACATTTTAAATTTTTTTAAATTAAAGAAAAATAAAATAAAACTAACCCCACCATCCCACCCCATTCCCTCTCACCATAATCTTATTCCCCTCATCTTTGTGATATATCTCTTAAACGAAGAACACCATCGCCTATCTTTTGTGCCACCGTTAATCTTTTTCCAGCCACTGCCAGTTTCCTCCTCTTTCTTATTTTTCATCGACGACCATCCTCTTGTTTCTCCCTTCTTGTGTTTGACCATTGTCTCTTTTCAAACGTTACCTAAAGAAGCTAAAAAAAATTTAAATACAAAACGTGCTTCATGCTCTGCCATCATACTATTTGATTCTTTCTTTTTTGACTTCTTGGTCTGCAAAATTGACGATAGTTTATAATTGTAGGTTTTGGGGTTTCTTAGATGGGAACTTCTCTGGTGATGATTTTTTTATAGCGGCGGTTTAAGGTTTTGTTGGGTTGAATGATTCAAATTATTAGGTTTTAGAATGGAAAAAACTTATTTATGTTTTATGAATTTATGAATTTAGGTTTATTGAGTTGAAAGAGTTCAGATTCTACCAATTTCATAAAAATAGATTCCACACGGCCCACTACGGCTGCCTGGTATTGTGAAGTTTGGGGGAGAGGGTTTCCCTTTGACGATGATACTAAGCAGCCCCTTTCAGAACTCCATTGCACACCCATCTCATAGCTATCCCTTGATTGAAACCACCAATGTTTGAACTTGAGACCTCTTATATGGGATGTCCAACTACTACACAAAGAGCCACCAGTTTCATATTAGTGTTTAAGATATTATAAAAACAGTGATGGTGGTTGTTTTAGTAAGAAATATGCAAAGCAAGAATCAACCAAATTAGTAACCATTTTTGTATTGTATTCGCAATCCTATTTAAGATTTCGAGGTGTAAGAAACAAGAATAACGAGGAAAACCCTTGATCTGTGATGAGATCGCTTGTACAAAACCTCGGGAGTCGAAAATGTAATATCCATAAAATTCATTAAAATTTAAAAAATTTTCGACAAACCAAAAGCCATTCATTGTTTACAAATTGTTTTCAAAATAGTTTAATATCAGAGAAACCTCAGAAATCATAACACAAAATGTGAAGAGGTGCACGATCAAGCCTTCGCCTTCCCGCGATCATCCGAAGTACCTGAAACATAATCTAAAATTGTAAGCCCACAGCTTAGTGAGTTCCCCCAAAATACCAACACCATACAAACAGAACAATGCATAAACAACAATATACATACATAGTCTTCAGCATGACTGGACCGTCTCACCGGGCCTACAGCCTATCTGGACCACTCTTAGAACCTTCAGCATGTCTGGTCCGCCTTTTCGGGCCTTCAGCTTGTCTGGACCGTTCTCCGGGCCTTCGGCCTGACCGGTACGCCCCTTTGGGCCTTCAGTCTATCCGGGCCGCCCTGAGTCTGTTGGCCTTGAGCACAAAGCAGGACTGCCTTACCCTACCCGCTATCATACAATATCACATAACTATCAAACGCTAGCTAGCACATACAATTATCATATAGGCCTAACATATCATCAATCATAACATCATCCTATATACTAGGACACAGATCTAACAAATCACTACACATAGCATCATACGATAAACCAGGATACACTCCAAAGGGCCGACCTTGGTGCCTTCGGCCCTGTTAGTATAGTGAGGAGAACTCACCTCACAAGCATCACTGACTGACTAGATCCAACTCCCAAATCTCAGCTCCAAACTCAACTGCCTACAACCACCATGTGACTAACTCCATCAAAATCCCAAAATTCCAAAAATACCCCTTTAAGTCCAACTTGGTCAGCCATGGTCAAAGTCAGAGTCAACAGTCAAGGTCAACAGTCCATGTTGACCCAACTCGTCGAGTGCATCTTCTTGACTCGTCGAGTTCCTTCAAAACTTAGAAAACCGGGAAAACCCTAGTCAACTTACCGAGTTATCACAGCAACTCGTTGAGTTCATGAAGTGTCCAGAAGATCGGAGAAACCCCGAGCTAACTCACCAAGTTGGCAAGGAAACTCGTCGAGTTTTTCTTGCCATAACTCATTCAGCCACTTTTAAGTGAGTCTAATGCCCCGAACTATAGATCTGGTCCCCTAGGGTTGAGATACCACGTAAAGTTGCTAACTTTACGTCCATGCATGACATCAAAAGGCTAAAACACTCCATCAAAGCTTTATTAAGGAACTTAGGGCATGGAGTGTCACACCCCCAAACCAGAACGGCGGAAACGTTCGGGGGCGGAGGACTTCATGTAAGTATCACAACACATGCAATATAGTAATCAAAGTACAAACAACCATTGCATTAATAAGTATAAGTTTTACATAAGTGTTTAAACATTACATATTCAAACACCAAAGTAGATACAGTAGAAGACAAGAGTCGCAGTACGGTACTAGGTAGTATTCTCAAAAGCTTCGGGAGTGTACCTGTCTACTGGATTCCTGAGAATACAAGTTATTTTGAAAGAGTAGATCAACATTTAAGCTGGTGAGTTCATAAGTATTTTAGTTATATAAGGTATACTCTAAGTTCTTGGAAAAGTTCGTTGGTTCCTCCAGAAAATCCTATATTTCCTGTGGTGATAAACTGATAACCTCAATAGTTCCCTCTGCAATTACTTAGTTTATACTAGTTATAAATAACCTAAT